GCTCCGGGGAACTGCAAATTAAGCTTAGATCTAAGATGACCAGAAGTTAATCAGGCAAAGTATATGAAGAGCTTTTCCATCTGAGGGAAAAGCATGTGTGAAGTGCTTGAAACAGAAATAAATTAAGTGCATTTTGTCAATTAAAAAAAAGGACAATGTGAATAGTGTGGTCAACAAAAGAAAGAGTGAAATGAGATGTTTAAGAGGCAGGCAAGGGCTAGATCATGCAGAGCCTGGATGCCATGTGAATGACTTTGCATTTTATCCTAATGCAAAAGGAGAGAGGTGAATTCTGATCTGTGTTTTTAACAGATCATTTTGGCAGCCTTGACAATCAGCCGGGAGGACAACAGTAGAAGTGGTGAGAGCAATCAGGAGGCTACTGTAGAAAGAGAGGATGCAGGCTTGGATTAAAGTGATAGAAACAGAAGCAGAGGAAGTGAACAGATTTGAGATATATTTTGGAGGTAGAGTCAACAGGACTGGACAGTGGATGTGAGGGTTGTTTTTGGCATCAGCAATGGGGTAGATGCATGGGCCATTTACCGAGCTGGAAAAGTATGGAGAAAGAGCGAAGTGAAGTGGAATCAAGATTTTCAGTATCGGGCCGACCCCGAGTGAACAGATTTGAGATATATTTTGGAGGTAGAGTCAACAGGACTGGACAGTGGATGTGAGCGTTGTTTTTGGCATCAGCAATGGGGTAGATGCATGGGCCATTTACCGAGCTGGAAAAGTATGGGGAAAGAGCGAAGTGAAGTGGAATCAAGATTTTCAGTATCGGGCCGACCCCGTGGCCTGAGCTCCCGCCGCGGGTTCGGATCCTATATAGGGATGGCCGGTGCGGTGCGCTCACTTGGCACCAAGCCAAGGGTTGTGATCCCCTTACCAGTCACACACACAAACACAAACACACAACGATTTTCAGTATCAGTGTGCTGGTGACAAGGCCACTAAAATGTGTGTGTGTGTGTGTGTGTGTGCATGTATGTGTGCATGACTTTTAGAAGAATAAGATGAAGGATAAGGTAATAGAAAAAGGAAAGAAAGAAGGGGGAAAAAGGAGGGAACAGAATTAGAATAAATAGAAAACAGAATTCCCAAAGGGGGTATGGTGGGTGGGGATGAGGACTGGTGCATATCAGAGTTGCTGAGGGTGTGTAATTGGAAAAAAAAAAAAAATCGACATTATACTGTATTTTTTTTTTTAATTTGAAAAATGAGAAGAGAAACTCTAATAGTGGTCTTTATAATGCAGATTACAGAAAGTAAACTGAAAATAATTATACCTGGTGGGTCCACACATAAGGATTTTGAAGCTGCTTCAAAATCCCCAGTGGAGTAGAAGGAAACCAATGTAACTTTTATGTTCATCAAAAGAGCATGGGTTAAAAAAAATTCACTGACACTGAGTCAGAGGAAGGCAGATGAAGTCAGCACAAAGACAGAGAATGGACAGAGAAAGAGAAATGGATAGATAGTTTTTCCAGTGAGCAAAAATGTCTCTGCCATCATGCCTATGCCGATCAGGGGCTCATGGTTTACCAGGTCAGTCGTCACCTTGGTTTGAATCCCAGCTCTGCCACTTATTAGCGAATGATCGCTGGGCAAGTCAGGTTTAACTTCTCAAATCTTCATTTACTCATTTGTAAAATAAAGATAATGATACATCTACCTGATGATAAGGATAAAAAGAAATAATTTATAAGTGCTTAGCAAAATGCCTGGCACAGAGGAAGAGCTCAATAAATGTTAGCTGCCCTTATGTAGCTGACTACAGATGCATAATTACAATAAGGTCGTTATTGTAGGTGTATGCACCTTCTCAGCTCCCTTTAAATATGGTGACTTTGCTCTCTTCAAAATCACATATAGTTCACTGTATCAAGAAATAGTTTTTATGATATTTATATTTATATATATTTATAATATTTATATTTAATATTTATAAAGCATTTATAATTTTTATATTTATAAAGCACTCTGAAATACTATTAGGCTTTAATTGTTGCAAATCAGTGAAAATTTCCCAGCTGATTACATAGTCAGAAATATGTTTTCTCATTTATTTCTAGAAATGTTAAACATAATTTAAAATTCATTATTTAACTTTCCTAGAAACACCAATAATTGATTTCTAAACTTATTCTTTGAAAATATTAAAAAATAAAGATGATGTTTTGAGTCCCTGTTGATATACTCATTTTCACACTGAGTCATTCTAAAAATCTATGTTTTCTCAGCCCTAGCAATATTATAAAGATATTCTATCTCAAAACATAACTATATAAGCACCCTATTACATGTGGAAACATTAAAATTGGGATCTCAATTTAGATTGAACTGAATAGCAATATTATAAAGATATTCTATCTCAAAACATAACTATATAAGCACCCTATTACATGTGGAAACATTAAAATTGGGATCTCAATTTAGATTGAACTGAATAGCAATATTATAAAGATATTCTATCTCAAAAC